CGGCCCCCGCTGCCCTGCCAGGCAGGTGCCCAAGCCGGCGTTCTGGGGCACAGAAGGCTCTGCGCTCAGAAAGGAAAGGCAGCTGCCCAACTCACACGGAGCCCAGGGTGTGGGGGCCACTTTAGAGGTTTCCAGGGTTCAGGAGAGCCACCCTGGGCGCAGAGGTGGGGTAGGGGCCGCCAGAGGAGGGGTCGCGACCCCTCACCCCTGGGACAGAGCCCAGGCTGGGGTCCCTGGAGCTAACGCAGTTGGGGCTGGCGGGGTATGCCTGGGTCAGGTGGGCACGGTCCCATCTGCAGTGTGGCGCAGCTCGGGTGCCCTGAAGCGTCGGGGCTGTGTGTGACCCATTTTTCTCCCCAGTAATCTAAAACTGTGGAATTTTTACGCGAAACACCCCAGTTTTAAAATTGTACCACACAGGTCTCATTTTTCACCGACATAAGCTTTCTGGGGGCTGGGGTAGGCTCTTGTGTGGCCAGTTGGAGACCTGGGTACTTTTATTTTTCTGTGGCGCTGGGGACTGGACTCAGGAATTCACACTGAACTGCATCCCCAGCCCTTTAGGAAAATTTTGAGACAGGGTCTCCCTAGGTCACAAAGTTCTCTGAGCTGGAACCTACGATCCTCCCGCCTCAGCCTCCCAGAGGGCTGGGATGACAGGAGTGCTTGGCCAGGTGTTTACGGCATGGAGGGGCACTTCCAAAAGCCTGGGTGGGAACTTGGTGAAGAGGACAGACCCCGGGCTGTCGCCCTGGCCCGTGTGGCCCCGGATGCCCTCTGGGCGCCTGAGTTCACTGGGCAGCGGAGTGGGGAGGGCCCCAAGGACAGGGGCACGCTGGCTCCCGCGTGCTTACTGGGCGAGATCTGCGGTGTGGCTCGTCGCTGGGAGGTGGCAGTGGGTTTGGTAGCCGGGGACAGCGCCAGGGGCGGAGGGGCCAGCATCGAGGTGGGGACGCAGTAACTGGACATTTTGAGCTGGCCACTTCCGTTTAACTGAGGGGGGACAGAGAGACACGTGGTTAAGGGAGTGGGCGTCCCCTCCACCTTGGGATGCTGGCACCGACGTCCCCAGCTCTGTGCACAGGGGCCCGAGGGCCACGACCGGTCTGGTGGGGCTGAGAGCAGCCAGCGTCACCGCGACCCTGGGCACTGCTGGGGTCACACGTACCGCCCCTCGTGCCGCCTGTGCACCGACCCGCTTTCCTCCCAAGCGACGTCACTGCACAGCGAACCACACCACCAGAGGTCTTCCGAGGTAGCTCGGAGGGCTGTGACCTCGGCCAGCACTTCCAGTTCAGAAGACTTTGGGATGCCAGAAGCTGAGCAAACCCGCTCAGGCTGAGCCTGGCTGAGTGTCTCCTGCCTGCCTGCCACCTCCCCTCCTATCCTCTTTCTGTTCCGCAGCCCCACTTCGAACTGAGCTCCATCCCCAGCCCTTTATATTTTTCATCAGAGTTCCACTAAGCCACTCAGTTGTCCAGGCTGGGCTTACACTTGCGAGCCTCCTGCCTCAGCCTCCCACAGTGTTGGAATGACAGGGCGTGCGCCATGCCCAGCACGGCTGCTTTTTCTGACTGGTTCCTCCCACCCCATGTAGCTTATGTTCTACACCACCGGACTCCATGAGGTCAGCAGGGGGCTGGCAGGGCCTTGCTGTGCCCTAAGAACCATTAACCGCAACATGTGGAGAAGCCTAAATCCCACTGACCCAAACCAACGAACTGCGGACCTGTGTTCGAGAAACCAGCTCACACAGAAGTCGTGCATTTCAGCACAGCCGAACAACGCGCCAGGGGTCCCCAGGGTCGCCTGCGGCCACCGAGAGACCAGCGCCCATGCTGCGTGCACTCACCGGTCCGGGCTGCTGGCTGGCCGGGTCACAGGCCAGCGAGACGAGATCTTTGAGCGGGTCCTGGGGGTTGAGGTGGGGCGGGTAGCGGATGGCGGTGTGCGGGAAGTAGGTGGAGGCCGTCTGGGGCAGGATGGAGGTGGTGGGGAAATGCAGGGCCGAGGGCGGGTGGGGGCTCCGGGTGATCCCTGCGGAGACAGCGGGAGGCGGCGGTCACACGGGCGCCACCTCTGTCACGGTGCCCAGTGCGATGACCACGGGCCAGGCCTCCCAGGCCACACACTCACAGACCCCATGGCGCTCCCATGCCACTCACCCCTTTTACAGTTCCGCACACTGAGCTGCACCCCGCCTCTTTTTTCTCCTGAGACAGGGTCTCGCTAAATTGCTACGTTGCCTAGGCTGGGCTCAAACTTGCCATCCTCCTGCCTCAGCCTCCTAAAGTAATAGGGTTACAAGCAGGCACCACCATGCCTTGTACTTTTAAAAAAAAGAAGACGAGGTGGTTCACGGAAGATGTGTCACCTGCCAAAGGCCACACAGTAAGAAGGGGGCAGACCCAGGGTTTGGGCCCAGCAAATCTGGCTCTGGCGTCCACTCTCTGACCCAGCAATCAGCAAGATCTTTCTATAAAAGGTCAGATGATATATCTTTAAAAAAAAAAAAAACAAACATACTCGGCCCCCTGTGTGCTCAGGGTCAACTCCAAGGACTCAACTAACCTTGGGTGGGAAAATTTTGGGTGGGCCGGGGATTTAGCTCAGTGACACCACGTATGCCTCGTAAGCGAGAGGTCCTGAGTTCGATGTCCAGTACAAAAAAAAAGTTATGGAAGAAAAAATAATTTAAAATAATATATCAAAGCCAGGCACCTGTCATCCCAGCACCCGGGAGGCTGAGGCAGGGGGATTGCCGAGAGTTTGAGGCTGGCCTGGGCTACATAGTGAGACCCTGCCTCAAAAAAACAGTATCGAACATGCAAACTTTCCCTAGGGGTGGCTCCTGAACAACACAACGTGTCCCCCGGCGCGCAGCATTCATTGTACCACGTGCAAGGAGCTGCCTATAGATGGTTTACGAAGCAGACAGCAGGATATGCTATGAGAAGCCCTGGGCCCAAGCACCCGGAACTGAGGGCTGCCTGATCACACTCCGTGAAGTCACCTTGTCACAGTGTTCGCTTCACTGGTATTTACTACTTTCACAGAGCTGTGCATCCACCTCTAGTTCCAGAACATTCTGTCACCCAAGAAGGAAACTTGTCGGTCCCCACGTCCCCTCCCCAGCCCTGGCACCCACAAGTCCACTTCTTGTCTCTGGATTTGCCTGTCCTGGGCATTTCCTGTCCATGGGGCCTCATGCTGTCTCCTCTCACTGAGCACAGCTTCCTCAAGATCCACCCATGCTGTGGCGAGTGTCAGACCCTTGCTCTTTTTCTTGGCTGAGTAATATTCTAATGTGGCATTTACTTGCCTTTCCCTAACCAGCTCAGTGACCATCAGAATGCTTATTCTCGGGCCGGGGATTTTAGCTCAGTGGTTCTGCTGCCTGCCTCGCAAGCACAAGGTCCTGAGTTCAAAACCCTGTACCAAAAAAACAAACAGAATGCTTACTCTCTGCAGCAGTCACACCCTGTCTCTTCTGTCCCTGGCCCCTGAGCAGACTACATATTTTTGGCTTTGGACTGTTAACCAACTCTGCCCCCCCCGCCCCGTGCAGAAGCAGCCAGAGGTGACACACACAGGTGTTGGGCTGTGTGCCAATAAAACTTTATTAACAAGAACAGCCAGCCAAGGGCCATCGCTTGCCAGCTCCCACCGCCATGACCTCCGTTCTGATTCACACTGCTCCCCAAGCCTGTCTCCTCCCAAAGGAGAGTCAGCCCCATGGGAGGCCCCAAGACTCCTCTCCTGGAACCCGCCAGGGCGTACATCAGCCCTGAGGGCCTGGTGTGTGATGACCTGGGGATGCCGAGTGTCTCTGTCCTCCTGTCCCTGCAGAGGGGACGTGTGTGACCCTGGAGCCCCTGTCTAAGCCTCGGCCTGCATCTGGGAAGTGGGGTGCAGGCCGACCTCCCAAGGCCCAGGTGAGGTCACACGGGGTTCGTGTGGCTCTCCACAGAGCTGGGATCTGGCCCAGCTCCACAACAGGGCGCCCATGTGTCTCTCGCCGGCTGGAGGGCACCAGCACGCGGCTCGCGGTCACACACCCGAGGGACTCCCTGGCCCGAGGGACTGCGCGTGAAACCTCACCGCTGTGCACCGCGATGACCGGCCGGTGGTGCTGGGTGAAGCTGGAGAGGCGCGGCGAGTCCTGCGGGGACGGGCTGTGGAACGGGGACTTGTCCATCTCTGTCTTCTTCACCGGGGAGGAGATGCCTGCGGAAGGGGACCAGGGCGTCACAGGCGGCCACATTCCCAGAGTCCCCGGCACCCCCAGAGCCAAGGCTGATGATGTGCCAGTGATGTCACCCTGCCTCCTGCTGTCCAAGAACCCGAGGGGCAGGCGGGGAGCCCATTTCACAGAGGAGCAAACTGAGGCCCAGAGAGGCCACGGCGCTGCCCAGGGTCGCATGGCCAGTCACGCACAGGGGCCCCTGCCTGTCACAGCTCGGCCCCACCCACTTTCCTTCCAGAGAAATCGGACAGCTCAGGACCACCCTCCTCCGACCTCCTGATCACACTGTCTTGGATTGCTCAGCCAATGGGAGGCTCACTACCTCCCCGCTGGCAGAACAGCCCCAGCCTTCAGTGAACAGACAGATGGACAAAGAGATGAGAGGCTCAAGTGGGCACCACGTCCTCCCGTGTGTGCGACAGGAACTCCCACCTGATAGCAGTGTGGGAAAGTGGGCCGGGGCGCGGTGACCCAGGACTCGCCAGTTCTGGGCATCGGTATTTTCCCAGGGGGGACGTCAGCCCCCTTTCCCAGCCACCCAGCTCACAGCTTCGGGGTCCTGCTGCAGCCGGGCTGTGGGGACCCGGGCGAGCGTAGGGGATTCTGGGGTCCCTTGGGCATTTCCACCCTTCCCTTGAAAATTAACCCGGGACCCACCCTGGGCGGCATCGAAGCCCCAGAGAGGGCATTTTGGGGGCTCCCAGGGGGGCCTCACGGTGTTGCGGGCCTTTTAGTGCCTCAGTGGGCCCGTCTGTTAAACAGGCCCCTCTGAACCCACAGAGGCCGCCGTGGAGCGCACAGCAGTCAGATGCAGCCCATGTGCCACGCTGAGCTCAGCCCCAGTGTGGGGCAGGCGAGGCTCGGGGACATCCGAGCGCCACCCCGCCCCAGCGGGGCCCGGGGCCCCAGAGGACCACAACCTTAGAAATGATCTTTAACACAGATTTTCTACTATGGCACCTGAGCTTTTTTCCACCCATCTAAAGTTCTTGTTCCAAATTTCTCCCCTGGGTGTCGGGTCTCTGGGACAGAGGTGTGACCGGTTGGGCATCCGGGGCACTGCAGGGTGCTGAGCAGCCGCCCAGGCCTCTGCCAGCTCCCTGCGAGGAGCTCCTCAGTGTGACAACCGCTGAGGTCCCCAGACAGGGCCCTGTGTCTCCTGGGGGCCGTTCTTTCTCCTCCTCTCCTCCCACCTCCCGCCTCATACATCCCGGCTTCCTGTCTAGACGGCCCCCAATCAGTGGCTCATTACGGCTGCTAAGCTGATTACTTGGCTCCTGGGCCGTCTGTTCCCGGCGGGGCAGCAGCAGAGCCCCCTGCCTCAGCGGCCCAGGAGGGGCAGGGCCTGGGGTCAGAGCCCCGCAAGTTTCCAGGCCTTGGGGCCCCAGTACAGCAGGGCAGCTGCTCCTCTCTGGACCTCTGAGGTCACTGGCCCTGCGCTTTGCGGCTGGCTCTGTGGCCATGGGTGGTCGGTTTCTCTCCTCAAGCCCCTTTCTCAACCAGGCACGTGGGGTGACCCCTGTGACTGTCGCACAGCGAGCTCGTGACCCTGGCCGAGCGGTAAGGACAGAAACAGGTGGCAGAATGCCCCGTGAGCCTGCGGGTTCTGCTTTGCAAATTGAGGTACTTTTTAGATGCCAATCAATGACAGAGCAAATGGTCACCTGATATCTACTTAGTGACAGAAACCTTGATTCTGAGACAGTCCTGTGACCCTACACAGTAAGAGTACGTTCCGCCAGCATCTGCCAGGGCCGATCAGGTGACCAGCTGCCAGGCACAGAGACAAATAGAAGAGGTAAATGCCACCTCTGTGAGTAATTCTGAAAGGGAGAGGGAGTGTCCACACCTGACAGCCCCTCCCTGCACCCTTTTTCTTTTGGCTGAAAGAAATGTAGATGTAGCGGTATGGTGGCGCACGCCTGTCATCCCAGCACTCGGGAGGCTGAGGCAGGAGGATCGCCGTGAGTTCGAGATCAGCCTGGGCTACATAGTGAGATCCAGGTCAGTCTCAACTACATAGTGAGACCCTGTCTCAAAAAAACAAAAAATAAAATAAAAAAGAAATGCAGATGTGATAGCAAGAGCTTCAGTAAACCAACTTGGACCACGAGGTGAGAATAAAACTTACACTCAAATTTTTAAAAAAGCACATTCAGTAGAACGTAAATCAGGAAACTGAATCCCTTACACCACATTTATCCAATCTACCTGCGACTGTCCTTTGGGTTGTATGTCTTAAAAAGCCTACATAGGACCAGGGATTTAGCTCAGCGGGGCCACGCTTGTCTTATAAGCAAGGTCCTGAGTTTGATACCCGGTACAAAAGCAAAACAAAACAAAACAACCCCATAATCCCCACAACAGCTTATTAGAGGGGCATTTCAAAATGAACATCCCCTGGCCGGGTGTGGTGGTACACGCCTGTAATCCCAGCACTCGGGAGGCTGAGGCAGGAGGATCACTGAGTTCGAGACCAGCCTGGGCTACATAGTGAGTTCCAAAGCAGTCTCAACTACACAGTGAGACCCTGTCTCAAAAAAAATTCTTTTTAAATGATGCATATCCCCATTTTGTAGAGAAACTAAGGCCGCAGGGGAGTGTGGGGCCACCATGTAACTGAGGGGCTAGGCTGTCCCCCCAGGCAGGCAGATATGGGGGTATTCCGGCTGGGGTATCTCAGGATAGAGGACTACATCAGGCAGTGCTTCTAGAATTTAGGGGTGCCGGCCCCACCAAGGGGACATTTTGCACACCTGTTTCCTGAAAGTGAGTCGTCAGCCCACTGCAGAGCAGAATATTTAGCGGCCAGGTGGGGTTTTTTGTTGTTTGAGACAGGGTCTCACTGCGTAGCTCAGGCTGGCCTTGCACTCTCGCGATGCCCCTGCCTCGGTCTCGAGGGCTGGGATCGCAGGCGTGCGACAACCAGGCCTGGCAGAAGGCAGACTTTTAGAGTAAAAGGATTCTTTAAGACGACAACTGGGGTGGAGGTCAGAACCCCACAGAAGAGAAATCTCTGGAAAAGTCCCTGGTGGAGATAACTAAGTTAACACAGCGGTCGGTCTAAGGAGCTATCCTTCAACAGAAAGGAGACTACGGAGCCGCTGACCCTATGAAACGGGAGGCCCAGGAGAAAGTCAGCTGGAGAGGACTCCAGGAACAGAGGGGCAACACGACAAAATCTTCCCGGAAAGGGACGCTGTGGGACTTGAGGCTCTCTGGACGAGATGGGGACCCCTTAAGTGACAGGTTCTATGGAGACCCCAGAAGAAGCACCCTGCTGATTCGAATCACTGAGTTAACCCAAGGGCTCAGGAACTCCAAAGACAAGAGACTTTAACAGTAGAGAAGAGAAAAATCCAGCAAGGGAAAGGCTCTGCTCTTCTCCGCCTGAGTGGAATCAAAGAGCTAGTGGAACGCGTGAGCCCGAACTTCATTTCCAAACACGCGCGGCCAGTGTGACTACAACTCCCAGGAGGCCCCGGGACTCCGGGCCGGCTTCCTACCCGAAGCGCCCGCGCAGTGCCTGCCGGGACACGTAGTCCCGCTTGCCGAAAATCCTACCGGAAGGCCGGCCTCCCCATCCCCCACCACCAGCCCTACCTCCTTCCATATCCTCCGTCCAGTTGCGGCTGCTACTCGTGGGAGAACTGGGCGAAGTGTAATAGTCTCCGCCGGGGCTCGTGTCCACGTCCTCCTCCATGGAGCCCGATTTGTGCCTCTTGCTCCTAAGGGGCAAGGGAAAGGGAGGCCAGTTACCATGGAGACACAGGGAGCGGTCGACGGCGGGCTTTACTGACTTCCGGTTCCGGGAGGAGCGGGACTAGGGATATGCTATCGCGAGACCTGGGAGCGCTAGGGCCTTTCAGGCTGTTCTCCTTCAACACCTGTTCCAATCTGCCTGTTTTTTTCGGAGGGGATCCCCGAGGCCAGAGCCGGGAGGGGTTCCACAGAGGTCCCAGTGCGAACTAGCAGGGCGGATCCTGCCTCTGCATTCTCAGGTGGCTCCCAAGGGCTGGCTGGGCCAGCAGGACTTGAGGCCGCCCAAGTGGGCTATGAAGGATGGACAGAAGGGGCACTTGGGTTTTGAAGGATGAATAGGAGTTTCTAGGCCCAGGAGGAAGTAGAAGACAGGTATGCTAGGGAAAGAATGAACCAGCTAGGGCCGCAGGAGTCTGGGCTTGTGGGTAGGATCACGCAGTGCTTTAGAGGTGGAGACCTGGATTACGTACCCACTGGAGGAGGTGCTGGGGAGCGTTCTTCTCATGCCGGTGCTGGCTGGATTCAGGTCGTAGGCCAAATGTCCCTGCAGCTCTCCCAGAGAGAAGTTGGGACCGGTTCCGGTCACCACAGGTGCTGCACAGGAGAAGAGAGAGGACTGTGAGCGGGGAGGGCCTTCCGGGGGCCTCTTCCCAGGGGGGCCGCGCCCCAAGTTGGCTGGGCCCAAACCTGCCTCTGCCTGTGGTCAGAGGAGGCTGTGGAGAGAGGCCAAGGTCACAGCTGGGGGGGGCGGAGCCTGGGGCGGAGGCCGGGCTCTGAGGATGGGGACAGGACGGGCACTGGGCCGGGCAGGGGCGTCCAGGAAGTGTGGGCCCCAGCGGGACCACGGGAAGGCAGAGGACAGGACGGGGCCCTGCAGACAGAGGCTGTGGGATGTTCTTTCTCTTTCTTCTTCGTGGTCCTGGGGATGAATCTGGGTCCTGTGCACTAAACTCCCTCCCCAGCCCTTTTTTTGTTGTGTTTTGAGACAGGGTCTGAGTCGCTATGTTGCCCAGGCTGGGCTGGGGCATGGGATCTTCCTACCTCAGCCTCCTCCACCCAGCATTTGGATCCCGTGCCCTGGGAGGTGGGTGGCCCAGGATGTGTGACCTGACCCTGGGCTCTGGGAGGGACTCGGCTGCCTTCCTTTCTGGGAGCACTAGGTTGGGGCGGGGGCCGGAGAGAACAAGGGGACCGGGAAAGCCCCGTGCCTTCTACTCCTCCCAGCTCAGGGACACCTGGGGACACTCACTCCGAGACACTTGGATGAGTTCGGTCACACTGAACACGCCAGAGGTGACAAAGCTCTCCTGGAAGTCAGTTGTGTCTGGAACGGAGAGAGGAGGGGTCAGCAGGTGGGCGCAGGATCTGGGGTTAGGGTTAGGTGATGGAGACTGGCCGGGGTTGGGGGCAGAGCCGTGGCCAAACCCAGACTTCCTGGAACAGCCCTGTCCTTCCGTGGGGTCGTCACCCAACCATCCTGCAGTGAGCACCATGGACAAAGGGAACGGGACACAGTGAGGCCCAGCCACGCTGGAATAGTACGCAGCCAGGAAGAGGACCGGGACTGTGACACCCACCGTAGAGTGGACAGACCCTGAGGACGCTGTGCTCAGTGAGAGACACCAGACCCAGAGGACACAGGGTGGGCTCCATGGATAGGAAGTGCCCAGGACAGGCGACCTGACACAGGAAGTGGACTTGGGGGTGTCTGGGCTGGGGATGAGACGGGGGGCTGCTCGTGGGGACGGACGGAGCTTCCTACGGGCCGAAGGACTGCACTGATCTAGGCAGTAGTGATGGCTGCACAGCCTTTGTGACTGTATTTAATGCCATTAACTTATTTGAGGTTTTTTTGTTTTTGGTTTTCTGAGACAGGGTCTCACTATGTAGTTGAGACTGACCTGGGACTCACTACGTAGCCCAGGCTGGTCTCGAACTCACAGCGATCCTCCTGCCTCAGCCTCCCGAGTGCTGGGATGACAGGCGTGCGCTACCACGCCTGGCCTAATGACATTAACTTAAAAATGGCAAAGGTTATCATCTACAGGATGACCATTCTATCACAACGAATTTTTTAAAAATAAAAGCTCCTGAAGTCCGAAGAGGGGTGGCAGAGGGTGGAGAGGCAGAGGGCAGAGGGGCTGCTTCTGACAGAGCCCAGTGGAGCTCCCAGACAGGGCCACTGCTCCTTGTGGGCAGAGAAGGGGAAGAAATGTGCTAAAATCTGTAAAGCAGGGAGAAGTTCACCAGGCTCCCTGCCTCCTGTGTGAGGCTGCAAAAGCTTCGGGGGTCTTTTTGTTTTCCTTGAGACGGGCTCACTGTGGAATCCAGGCTAGCCTTGAACTCCTGATCCTCCTTCCTCAGCCTCCATACACACCTCCATACCCAGCGAGATAGGAGGAACTTTTTTTGTACCGGGAATTGAACCCAGGGCCTCCTGTTTGCCAGGCAGGTGCTGTGCCACTGAGCTGCATTCCTGCCCTAATGGGAGGATTTTAGACGTGACAATTCTCTGCCTCCCTGAGGCAGTGGGAACGGCCCTTGCAAAAAAGCCCCAGGGGCTAGAAGGCCTTGAGAGAGCCAGAGAGACGGTCCAGCAGAGGTGGGACTCAGCAGCCACTCCTGGCTTTGCCTCGTAGGTGGGGACAGTTCCTCTCCTGGCCCCCAAGGGCCAGCACGGACTGTGGGGTGGCTGGTCATTTTTCTTAATTTCTTTTTTGGCTGTACTGGGGTTGAACCCAGGGCCTCCACACAGAACTCCAACAGCACCTCTTTTTAAATTTTGAGACAGGGTCTCCCTCAGTCACTACACTGCCCAGGCTGGGTTCAAACTTGGGATCCTCCTGCCTCAGCCTCCCACAGTGCCCAGGGCCCTCATCACCACCTCGCTGCACACCATCTACAGAGCAGCGACTCAGGGAGTGGACATCTGGGGATGACAGGGCGGCCTGTCCCAGTGTCTAGGGGAAGTGGCCGGAGTGTTTCCTGCTGACCCAGCTGGGCAGCTGGTGTGGACGCAGCTCCTCCGCCCTCCCCGAGGCCAGGGTTTCCTGTTTGTGCAGGGCCCGCCCAGCTGTCTCCGGGGGGGACTCCCTGGCAGGCAGTGAGGATGAGATTTCCTCTGCCAGACACCACAGCCACCGAGGTCCCTGTGGACCCGGCCAGCACCGCTGTTCTCACCTCCCCCAACATCTGGCTTGTGGGGAGGACCTGGGGTCACAGCCACAGGGCAGGGGAGACAGGAGGAGAGGCCTGGGGCTGAACCCCCCCATGCTGGCCTCTCCCTGCCCCTCCCCCTCTGCCTCTCTTCCTACAAATGTTGAACACCTGCTGTGCACCAGGGACTTTTCCAGTGACCCAGACAGACACACTCTGCTCTCATGGAGGCGACACCCTTCTGGGGGGACATAAGCAAATGCCTACGCAGTCACTGAGCAGCCACACAAATATATATGCAACTACTGACTTCCTCTGGAGGAGATAAAACAGACGGCTGTGGCCAAGAGAGACCAGAAGGCGTTTGATTTGAAGGGGCTCGGGAAAGACCTCTTCAAGAAGGGACATTGGGGCGATCTGGAGAGAGATGAAGTAGTAAATAGCTGACCAGATAGAAAGCAGGGGTGTGCAAAGGCCCTGGGGCAGCAAGGAGCCTGCTATTGCAGAAGCCGTGAGGAGGCTGTGTGGATGAAGCAGAGGAGGAGGAGGGGAGACTGAAGGGGACCAGTGGCTGTGCAGGGAGGGCCTGGTGGGTTGCAGGGAGGACTTGGACTTTGGCCGGAGGGAAATGGGAGCTGTGGAGGGCAGAGGGAGGATCTCACTCGGTGCTCACAGCGCCCTCTGGTGGTGGCTGTGGGGTGAGGGTGTCAATGGGGGCCCAGGAAAAGCCTTTCCACCTCCTTCCTGTTTGCTCCAGGCCCAACTCAGTTTGGAGCCGCCCTGCCCAGCTGCCAGCGCCCGGAACTCAACTCACCCAGCGTGATGGGCTTGCTGTCTTCCTGCTCCGAGCCCATCCCCGCCCGGGGACTGCCGCTCTGCTCCGCATCTGTAAGACAGTGAGAGTTGGTGACATGGTGCGGAATAAAAATGTGGGCACCTGGAGTCTTGACAGACTGGTTCAAATCTTAGCTTTGCCTGTTGCTTTGCGGTACTGGGACTGACCTCAGGGCCTTTGCACAGAGCTCATCCCAGCCCTTTTTACTTTTTGAGACAGGGTCTCGTTAAGTTGCCCAGGCTGGGCTAGAACTTGTGACCCTCCTGCCTCAGCCTCCCAAAGTGCCGGGATGACAGGCGAGCACCACCACTCCCTGAACACAGGGCTCCAGCTTTGCCGTTTTCGTGCTGTATGTCTCTGGGCAAATCCCTTGCCCTCTCTGCCTTCTAGGAGATGAAGATACTCTGGAAGGACAACTCTTCATCTGGCCTCACCCTGTCCTGCGGGTTTTACAGTTGGTTTAGTGGCGACTCCTTGAGCCTTCCTGGTCCCCTGGCCTCCGCCTCTGCTCCTGCAGCCCCAGGGACTGGGCCCTTGCTCTCAGGTTCCTTATTCCAGGAGTTGAGGGGCGGCTGTCTGCGGCTGCAATGCCCCATGTGCCCCGGTGCTCTCTCTCCACCTCATCTAAAAATAATCGGGCTCCTTGGCAGGGGGGAGGGAGAGGGAGAGGAGCTCAGCGCTCCCGGCTCCCTGCGGCCCCCTCTCCGCGGTGCTGGGGCTGAGGATGGCAGCTGCGCACGGCATTGTGGGCTGCGTGGAGGTGGCAGGGAGACAGCACATCTGGAGCCTGGGGGAGAGGGGACGGGGGACCCATAAATGGTAGTGTCCACTGCATGGTTCGGAAGCATTTTATGTATTTATTTATTGTGCAGTCCTGGGGGTTGAACCCCGGGCCTTCACACTGAGCTCTGTCCCAGCCCTTTCCATTTTTTATTTTGAGGTTAGGGTTGCAGTAAGCTTCCCCATCTGGGTCATACTTTAGACCCTCCTGCCTCAGCTTCCCAGGGTGCCGAGATGATAGGCGTGCACCACCACACCTGGCTTACTATTACCATTAAATCCTCCAGATAACCACAAGCGTGGTATTCTTATCTTATTTTATATCCCTAAGACAACCTTCAGCCCAGCATTGCTGTCGGATGAGGAAAACAGGGTGACAGTGACAACGGACGTCCCCAACCGGGTCCACATGCGTTGCTTCTCCCCGGGTCAGACGCCAGTCATGGGGTTGTGATAGGGAACAATAAAAATGGTGTTTCCGCCAGGCCCGGTGCTGTCACCTAGCATCTCAGCACTCAGGGAGGCTGAGGCAGGAGGACCTCAAGTTTCACCCCAGCCAGGCCACTTAGGGGCTTAATGAGACCCTGTTTAGAAATAAAAAATAAAACAGGGCTGGGGGTGCCACAATAGCAGGCCTGTGCCTCAGTTTCCCAGTTCGGCAGAGCAGCCCCACTTGGCCTGGCTCTGCCACAGGGCTGGCACCAGGCAGGGCAGACTGCAGCCAACTTGGCGGCTCCCGGGCTGGGCAGCGCGGCCCCTAGAGCCAGCCAGGCCCACTTGGATGCCTCAGCTGGGCACCAGTCGCTGGGACACTACGCGGGACCCTCTTCCAAAGGCCGGCTGGCCTGGCTGGCGCTGCCAGGAGCTTTCCCTGGACACCCATGGAGGCCCAGCCTCCTGGGCCGCACCTCAAGCCTCCCTGTGGGGAAACAGGCACAGCCGCAGCCCTGGCCTCGGCAAGGAGGCCGCACAGAAGGAGGGAAGGGGCCCGTCCCAGCTCTCAGGAGGCTGAGACAGGAGGATTGCAAGTTTGAGTCCAGCCTGGGCGACTTCGCAAGATGCTGTCTTTACCAAAATCCTTGAACAAGAAAAGAAAAAGAAGCCCACAATCCTCCCCTCGGGTGTGCAGATGGCCACCTAGCAGGCCCCGAGGGAAGGGGTCCAGGCCTGGCCCACATCCAGCGCCCCACCACGTCCGGGGTGGATTCAGCACGCTCAATGGGAGGTAAACTGAAGCCGGGACCTTGCACAACAGCTTTTGCCTCACTCCGAGGCCCGGACCTGGGCTGCACAGAGTGTGCGGGTGATACCAGGAGTCAGAACCTGGCCCGGTTCCGTCCCCGAGTCCCCTGGTTTCGGGGCAGAAGTTGGCTAAATATTTTGAGCTTGCACAAAGCACAGACGAGAGGGGTCCCAGATCTCTGACCCTGCCTGTTCCGTTCTAACCTCACAGGGCGAATGGCGCGGGGCCCTCTGGGGAGGCGACGACGGAGGGGAGAAGCCGCCGATGAGTGCTGCCCCCGGGTATACAGTAGGCCCTCAGTTAATGCACAATCTCTCTACAGCCTTCCGCGAATCCTGCCATCTCGGAGGAGTTTTCTACCCATTTGCTATGCATGGGGTACAGGGTATGAGGGGGCAGATCCGGGTTCCTCCTTGTTGCTGTGTAGCCTCAGGAGAAACACTGGCCGTCTCTGGGCCTAGGATCCCTCCTTCCCCAAACATCTCCCCTTCAGAGAGACACAGAGGTCTTTAGGCACCAAGCAGCACCAAGCAGTCACCCTCACGCTAGTATGAACGAGACCCTGGTACTCGGCGGCGCTCGATGACTTCCCAAGTCTGGGTGGTATTTGTGTGCAGCCCGGAATGTCTGCTCAGCCCCCAAATCTGCTCAGACAAACACGAGATCACGGGCAGCGACGGCAACACAAATCGGGTCCTGCTGACCAGCGTACAAACTGTTCCTTCCTGTCCGTGGCTGAGAGCCCAAATTTGGTCTGTGGCAGCTCAGGACAAAGGCGCTGTGGCAGTGGCCGCGGCCCCGCCTTTCCTCTGCCCGGGACAACTCCCTCTGCCCGGAGGCTGTGCTTCCACCGGTCACGGTCACTGCTGGAGGTCACCACGTGGCCCGAGTCCATCTAGCAGATGTTTTCAGACCACCTGGTTAACCTGGCGGGCACTGGGGAGATGGCAGAGGACCAGGTGGGAGGGACAAAAGGAAACTGCAGGCAGCAGGGCCTGGGAGGAGCCCGCAGGTTCTGCCTCCTGCTGCGAGCTGGTCACGGGCACTGGTCAAAGCAAGTGCAAAGGTCCTAGGGCAGGGACCGACAGGGGGGGTGAGGGCCAGGGAGAGGACACAGGGCTGGAACACGGTGGCCAGGGCAGAGACAAGAAGGTAAGAGGACAGCGATTGCCTCGGGCCACTCAGGCCACAGTGAGACACTCAAGGTTATTCTGCAGCACCACTAGGCATGACTGACCAGATGTGTACTGATTTACTTTTTTCTGGTACTGGAGAAAGAGTCCAGGGCCTTTGTATCCCCAACCCTTTTTTTTAATTATTATTTTGAGACAAGGAATACTAAGTTGCTAAGTTCCCTAGGCTGGGCTGCGTGACTTGCGATCCTCCTGCCTCAGCCTCTGGAGTGTCTGGACGACGGGTGTGCGGCACTGCACTCTGGCTGTTTTTTCAAGTCTCCAGCTGCCGATGTGCAGAAATCTTCGGAAGCCCCGGGTGCTGGGAGAGGGATTCAAAGTGTCAAAGCTGCTACGGGCAAGAGCAGGGAGGGCCCTCGAGAGCCCAGTGTGCACCCGTCACATGACATCTCTGCTCCAAGGGACCCACCCGACTGACTTGAAAATGGGGTGCACACAATGTGCTCACAGCACAGTGCAGAGGTTCAGGGGGACACCACTGTCCACACGCTGGAATACTACTCAGCCGGGAAGAGGAGCGAGGCTGGGACGCTCCTCACAGCGTGGAGGGACCCTGAGGACGCCAGGCACAGGGGACACACAGCACGGCCCCCACAGACAGGAAACGCCAGGGCAGGCGACTCCCCGGACAGGAAGTGGACTCGGGGGGGGGTGCGGGGGCTGGAGAGGAGACAGGAGTCAGCGTATCGTGGGACGGAGGCTCAGTTTAGGGAGGTGAGAAAGCGCCGGAGGTCAACAGTGGCATGGACTCTGATGAACACTGCTGCGCTGCGTGCTCGGAATGTTAAACCGGGCATGGTGGTGCTCGCCTGTGGTCTCAGCACTCGGGGGAGGCTGAGGCAGGAGGATCGCCATGAGTCCAAGACCCTGCCTCAACTCCCCCGCTCCCCAAGAAGGAGAGAAATGGTTAACGTGGTCAGTGTGCGTTATCTGTTTGCGAAGGTTAAATATTATTTTTGGATGCCTGGCTGCTGCGGGCCCCCCGGGAGGTGTGGGCGGCTGTCGCTCTGAGGGTCCCTGACCCAGCCTAGCGGCCCGGGAACAGCCCCACGGGTCACATTCAGTGTCTGCCTGGGGCGCGGAAACAGGACCAGGCCCTTCCACGCGGCGGCCGCTCCAGCCTGGCTCCAGTGCAGCTGGCTCTGCCGCCGCCACGTCCGCCTCCGTCGGCCTCCCTCCGTGGCGGCTGCCAAAGCGAAAGGCAAAGCCAGGCCCTGGAATCCCCGCTGCAGGCTCAGCTTGCTCGAGAGCTGGCAGGCGCCAGCTCCCTCTGTCCAAACCCCGTCCTGATGCCCTCCGCCCAGACTCATTCCGGACCCGAGCAGGGTACAAAAGCCCAAGGCCTTAACACTTGAGCCAGGTCCCCCCTCCTTTGCCCTCTGCCCTCCATGGCTCCCACTGGCCTGGGCCGAGGCTCCTCCTGCAGCCCATAGGGCCCTGCACAGCCACCCGTCCCCTGCCCGCCTCCCTGTTGTCCCTCTCTGCCCCTCCTCCCTCTGCTCCAACCACAGGGGCTCCTTGCTACTGCTGGGCTCCATGCTGTCCCAGGGCCTTTGCACGGCCACAGCCTCCCCCTGGATCTTCTCCCTGCACCCACCGACCCTGCCACAGTCCCGCTTCATCCTCATCTTGCTTCAGATGTGGTTTATGTGTCCACGGCTGCCGGGCTCCTCCTGGATGTGGCTGAAAACTTAGGACATTTGGGCTTTCACCTCCTCATGCCCACCCACCCCCCGAAGAGCTATCGCCAAAGATGCCGCTGCCGGCGCACCCGATCTGTTGCTCTGGGTCCCCTCAGCCTCTGCCGCACCCCTAGCTAGGTCTGCAAGCCTGGGCGTGCAGGGGAAGCCAGGATTCTTTCACCCAGCACATCTTGAGCACCCACTGCGTACCAGGTCCTGCCCCTGGGCTGTCGGGAGCCCGCGAGGATCCCCCCGGAGCCCGGAGCGCCTGCGGCTGAGCTGGCCTCGATCTCCCGGGCTGGCGGGGCCACTCGGAGGGAAAACTCGGGAGGCTGAGGCAGGAGAGTTCGCCGGGAGTTCCCAGTCCGCCCGGGCTCCACGGCGAGTTCAAGGCCTCGGCTACTCATGGAGACCCTGTCTAAGAAACCAATACTAATAATAAAAGAGCCCGGCGGGAATAAAATAAGAAGTGAAGGAAGGAAGAAGCGGGG